GGGGAAGCTCGTGATCAAGCACTTGGTAGCCAAGGGTTGTACGAAGATGGTGGTTGTTAATAGAAGCGAGGATAGAGTTGCTGCAATCCAGGAGGAGATGAAGGGTGTCGAGATAATCTACAAACCCCTCGACGAAATGCTGGACTGTGCTGCAAATGCAGATGTAGTTTTCACCAGCACTGCTTCAGAAACCCCCTTGTTTCTGAAAGAAAACGTGCTGAACCTTCCACCCGTAAGCCCTAGCGTTGGGGGCTTAAGGCTTTTCGTGGATATCTCCGTTCCTAGGAACGTGGGTGCCTGTGTTGATGAGCTCGAGACTTCCCGAGTGTACAACGTGGATGACCTTAAGGAGGTCGTGGCTGCCAACAAGGAAGACCGGGTTCGAAAAGCAATGGAAGCTCAGGCAATAATTTCTGAGGAATCAAAACAATTTGAAGCTTGGAGGGATTCACTGGAAACTGTCCCCACCATCAAGAAACTGAGGGGTTATGCAGAGAGAATCCGAGCTGCAGAGCTCGAGAAATGCTTGTCGAAAATGGGGGATGACATCACAAAAAAGACGAGGAAAGCAGTGGATGATCTCAGCAGAGGCATAGTAAACAAGCTTCTTCATGGTCCAATGCAGCATCTGAGGTGTGATGGGAGCGATAGCCGCACTTTGAGCGAGACCCTCGAGAACATGCACGCTCTAAACCGGATGTTCAGCCTCGAGACTGAAATATCGGTGTTGGAACAGAAGATTAGAGCCAAAGTGGAGCAAACACAGAAGTGACAACCTTAATGGGGGCCAAAAAATGTATGTTTTCTCTGTTGGTTCTGTTGTAAATTCTGGGTGGATATACTTAACAGGACATGATTACTTTGGGGTGATCTATCATTGTTGGTTTGTTGTTGCTGTTGATTTCTGGCTTTTTCTCAACACATCTGAAAGGAGATTTCCTTCTTTGTATGTATTTTGCTTTCTAATGTAATCAAGACAGTAAAAAGTGAGCTTTGAACCTTATAACCCATGATTTTGTTGGAGTTTGTACTTGTACTTAATGCACTGTTCACTGATTAATTGAGACCAAATTTTTTGTTAATATGTATATTCCAATGGATTATATTTCCTTTGGTATTGTGATGTTAAACTATTGGGTTCATGGAATAAGTTAGGAATAGAATAACATTTCTGGGAATAGACTTATTTCATTGTTTGTTTTGATCATTTTGTTATGGGGATAACATTTCTAGGAATGAGCTATTCCCTTTGCAAGAGGAATAGCCATTTCCGGAGGAGAAGGGGAGGGCTTGATATTAAGTTTTGTTTAGGAGAGTGGTGAGTTTAATGAATTATGATGATAATAGGGTTGGAATGTTTTATTGTTGCAAACGCTAGACATCGAAACGGTCTTTTAAAGGACGTTTAGAGCAATGAAATCTTCTCATCGCCCTAAATGCTTGAAAAGTGAAAACTAATACTACTATCCCTATCACCCTAATATAGCTTCCGAGAACTAAACACTGTTCTGACCCCACCATTGTAAATGCCCTCCTAAATGGTGCTTTCGAGAACTGAGACTGCTCTATTTTCACCATCATGAATGCCCTCCCAAATAAAGTTCTCGAGAACTAGCACTACTCTATCCCTACCATTGTAAACACCCTTCTAAATGGTGCTTTCGAGAACTGAGACTGCTCTATTTTCACCGTCTTATTGAATGCCCTCCCAAATGAAATTTTCAAGAACTAACACTATACTCTATCCCTACCTTTGTAAACGCCCTCCCAAATAGTACTTTCGAGAACTGAAACTGCTCTATATTCACCGTTTTGAATACCCTCCCAAATAAAATTTTCGAGAACCAACACTGCTCTATTTTCACTGTCTTGAATGCCCTCCCAAATAAAGTTTTCGAGAACTAACACTACTCTATCACTCCAACTCTCTTCATTCATCACTTCTTTCCATCTAATATAAAGAACATAGAGTGGGACAAAAGACAGAAAACAGATAGGACTGAGTGAAAGAGAGTGGTAGTAAGAAGAAAAGTTGGAAAAAGAAAGCAAAGGGAGAGGGTGTAGATAAAAAGTTTTTTTTATTTTTATTTTTTATTTTTTAACAGTAATACACGCTGTGAATTGAGCAAGACAAAACAACATGTAAAAGCAGGTTAAGACATAAGACAAAACAAAAGACCAATCAAATTTTAAAGATGTCGATCGAAACTTGACTGGATCAATCTCATTTATAAAACGTTGTAACATTAATATAGTATAAAAAAAAAAAAAAAAAGTGGGACCGGTGTGAAGATAAATAGTCAACGGTGGAGCATGAATTCCCTGGTTGAAAGGGAAGCTCTGGCGGCCTTGTGTTTGAGATTGAGATATTGATGAATAATGTGATAATTTTTGTCTGATGCATATTTCTCCCATCCCATGTTTCTGCTCGAATGATGTCTTTTCATCCTCTCAATCTTTAACTTTAGTTATGTCAGCCGTCCGGTAGAATTTCTATCTTATTTTTACCTAACTTCTACCTCATTAATTAATACTCCGTAGTAATATTCGGGCAATTTATATCATAAATCAGGTCCACATAGCATTATGGATCTTGAATCAAAACAACGAAGTACAGAATTCATACTTGTAATAAATTACATAATTTTATAGAGTTAATTACCGATTTGGTCCCTCGACTATGAGAATTTCACCAATCTGGTTCTCGACTTTCAAAATTCTCAATTTAGTTCCCAACTATGCTCTTTTTTTTTTTTAATACCCAAAATGGTCCTAACCGTAAGATATCCGTTATCTCGGGACCAAATTGATCATTTTGCTATAGTCAAAGGACCATTTCAGTCATCACATGCACCATTTTCTCCGAAAGTTAATTACTGAAATGGTCTCTTGACTATAGCGAAATTACCAATTTAGTCCCGAGTTAACGGACCTAACGGTTATGATCATTTCGGAAAAAAAAAAAAGCATAGTCGAGGACTAAATTGAGGAATTTTGAAAGTCGAGGACCAGATTGGTGAAATCCTCATAATCGAGGGATCAAGTCGGTAATTAACTCTAATTTTATAACACAAGACATATAACATGTTATATATTTACTTATTTTTAAAAAAATATGATTTAGGTACATAATTTGTGTTCATAAGCATCGAATTTCACAACACAAAACACAAAAATTCATAGCATTAGACACAATTACTAATTTGTTTCAGGTACATAATTCATTCTCTTAAGATACAAAATTTAATAACACAAGACACAAAAACTCACAACATAAAATACATACACATGCATCAAAGATCTACAGTGTACCGTGAACCCTGGTCCATGGTATAAGGATTACCACAAGTAAATTTTAATGTAGACCATGGGCCATGCAGTTGCGTGGACCATGATTGAAAGCAATGTCGTTTCTTTAATGAAAAGAAATAGCACGACACTCGTTTGACCGTTTCGTCCAACTAATTATTTTTTTTAGCGTATTCAATTTCATTTTATATACACTGTAGTTTCATTACATCACAACGTAACTAAAGTATCATTTTGATTTAACTACATTTTCATTTGATATTATACACTCAATATGTGAGACATGTTATTGAATTTCATTTTATACAAACTATAATTTTATTACAACACCACTAAAGTATAATTTTAATTCAACTACGGTTTTATTGGACAATCCATCAATTTTAACCTTATGCTATCATATAATCCATCAATTTATTGCGGAACAAACTCTTTAAAAATATTTTTTTTAAAAAAAATAATCTCTCTCTATTTCTAAAAAAATATGTATTATTGTACCTTGGGACAACATATAAGTGGATCGCAAACGGTTAATGCAACTGTAAAGTTCAGTGAGTGAAGTCAAATTTTGCAAGTGTAACTCAAGCTGATCGAAATGTTCTTTAATAGTAACAAGCTAATAATTTATGTGACAAGATCGATGTCAAGATCATATACAAAAATTGACTTACATTGATCAATAGTATTACAAACGTGGTTGTAGAAAATATGTATAATTGTGTGGTACAAATATTAAAATGACATTTTTGTTGTTAAGAAATAATTGACACAAAAAAAGTAAAATAAAATAAACAATATAACTAACACTGTTTGTTCTTCTGGAAAAAGTAGCAATGGAAATTTCCCAGCAGCCTCTGAGAATGTACAATCATTAATCATTAAAAGAAAATATTGATTTTGGTAATGATTAAAGGTGGTGCAATAGATGTGTTTATAGGTGTCATGTCAAAATATTCACTTCAAATCTCTGTGTGTATATATGTATCGCAATTAGTACAAAGATTGAGTCACACCCTACATTTTTTGCAACTTCCATATTTCCAAACTTGGGCTCCATCCTTAATAATGTCAAAATGTTGTCTGTTCCTCGTAAGGAATATAATGAATTATAATTCTTGTATCAGAAAATTACGAGTTTAATTTTTCTCAATATTATTTCAATCGAGTTTATTGCACAGTAATACGATTTATCTCGTCTATTTGATTTGTTGACTGTTACACATGATCGATCAATGCGCACCTCTTCGAAATTGCTAGTTTTGCACATTAATTTGAGTAAACCCATTTTAGAGTCTTAAAATAATTCTTGAAATTTGTATATGTGCGCGCGCGCACACACATAGACCTTAGTTCCAATGCGGTCGCGTCTTAACGTGCGGTCAGTGCGGACGCACCAATAGTTATGCAAACACGCACCAATAGTGTTAGGAAACGCACAACAAAAAAATGCACCAATACACCAAAAACTGCACCATTAAATACGCATCACCAAAAAACACATCATTAGGTACGCATAAACGCACAATTAGATATGAGGAGACATGGTGCATTTTTTGGGTGTGTGGTGTGTTTTGTGGTACATTTGTACACTTCATTGTTTTGCGCTTTTCTATTGGGGCATCCGCACCGACCGCACGTTAAAGTGTGACAGCATTTGAGCTGATATATATATGGTTATGGAGAAGATAAAATGATTGGAATAATGGAATCCATTTATTTTGGATAACAATTATCATAAAAAGTTTGAGTACAATCTCAGATCTCATTTGAAACTACCATTTTCAAAACATAATAATCTGGCCACATGATTTTTAGACCTGCTCTAATTTGTTCTCTTCGAAATTTTATCCTCTACTTAAAGAGTTAAAGACACCTTCCTCCATATCCGGCATTCCTGAATAATGCCTGTTTTATGTCTTCTGTACTCAAAACTCCCCTTTGCTCCAATTCCTATCATATATCACAACAATTTTAGAAAACAAAAAAGTCAAAAATCTCAGCATAAAAGAAAAGGAAGAAAACTTTAAGTAAACACTTTCTTTTTGTTATGATTTATTTTGATACAATACGGAGGAGGATTACAACTGTCAACTCTAAATACATTAATAGATTCACAATCATTCATCCATCTACACTAGCTAACTACAACTCATGCATGTACAAATTAAATGCAAACTAAATAATACGTCACAGTCACGGTTAAAGATTAAAATATTACACGATTTCTATAAAGAGCATCTTCAATAGTAATGTTTTTTTTTTGTGGTTTTTGAAGTGCCAACTAGGAGAGAGAGGAGGGAAAGAGAGGAAGGAAAAAAGGGGAAAAAAAAGCAAATTTGACCGTCTGACACAAGGAAAAAAATAAAACAAGGCATAGGACGCACTAGTCGGCGCGTGCAGGCTGGCCCGCTGAATGTGCGCCCAATGCGCACAAAGGCAATAGCCTTCTGCATCTCTCTCTTGCGGGACCCACAAAAAATTAATATTTGCAGGAGAAATTTTTGAAAAAAAAATAAAAATCATGCCTCCCATTAGTGTAAAAATCCAAGTTTAATTTTTTCTTCCTAAAAAAGGGTGAAAAAACCATTGTTGTAGATGCTCTAAGACTCGAAACCCAACCTAACCCTATAGAGCTTCCCTTTTGGCATAAGTATCCATGCCTTTTTTATACCGGTATAACTATGCATACTATTTGAGTTATATAAGATATTGTCAAACACTTATCCTTATAATATCGATATACGGACACATACCCTACATAATTATACTCGGTTTAAAAAATTACTGGTCCAAATTAACACCTAATTATTGTACCTGAGTGCAGGAAGCTCTGAGTGCAAAGTCATTGAAACAACTAATAACACACTGTTGAATCTCTAGGCCTAAAGCCTCTAGAGTGGTCACTGTTGATAGCAGAAGCCCAGGCTTGGCTGAGCAGCAAATCTCCACCCTTGTATCACTCACTTCTCTCCTTTCCACATCAAACTGCAATAAATAAATAAATAAATATGAAAACTGATCAGAAAAAAAAAAAAAAAAGAAAAAAAAAGACCCACAAATTACAGACTGACCCCTGAAGAAGCAGGAATTTATGAAATGAAACCATATATACCTTGGGTGAATTCCTGACAGACATTTCATCTGGTTTTACATCCTTGAAGATGCTCATTAGTCTGAGTTGATCTGGCCCCACCTCCATTTCTTCTTGCAGATGGTTTATTCTCTCCAGCAGCTCCTTCATGTAGTCTATTGTGTCCCCAAGAATGGATGTTCTATCCATCTGCCAAGAAAAAAATAATATGCAAATTAACACTCTAATTTTTGTGGGTTAAAGTAGAACAATCAAGAAAATGACCCCGAGCCTGCCCACACAGATAGCTCAGTTGATTTTCGGATAGCAGATTATGGATAATGATGCAGGATTAAATCTTGGTAACAGTATAGGAGTTCCAGCCTCCCGTGGGGTGAAAAGTTGGTCCTTCCACCTAATAAGCCGCTGAGTCACACTGATATACCACTTCGCAATTCTATATGTCGAGTCGGGATGTGGGGCCCACCGACATTGGTTCTCCCACTTAATGGACGACTGAATTACCATGATTTACTTCTCCACAATCCGGTCAGGTTTATAGATGTCAGGATGTGGGGCCCACCAACATTGGTTCTCCCACCTAATGGGTGGCTGAATTACCGTGATTTACTTCTCCACAATCCAGTCTGGTTTATAGATTTTGGTTTTTGTGGGCAAGAAAATGATGGCTTGTGAGATAAAAGGGATTAATTGATTAATTAATTAATTACCTTGCTAATCTTGGGCACAATTGATCTAAGCATGGAGAGCCTGTCATTAAGCCTCTTCCTTCTCCTCCTCTCAGCCATGAGGTTCTTGGAAGGTTGGCCATGGAGTTTCTTGGATTTGGGCTTCTTCTCAGGGCCAGATGACCCAATGTTGAAGGTCACACCAGGCTGCACAACCTCACAACCACCACCGCCGCCGCCGCCTCCGCCGCCGTACTGGTAAACTGCAGGCTCCATTTTACACGAATGAGTATTATGGAAGCAATTATTAGCCTCCTCGTCAAAGATTCCGGCCGGCGATGACGACAAGAGCTCCTCGTGGTAGCTGGCCGGAAATGGCGGCGGGGTGCCGAGTTTGATGTTGGACGACTCAGTGAGTTGCGGGGAAAGCTCAGTGTAGAGGTCATTGAAGAAGCAGGAAGAAGAGGAGTTGAAGCTCTGCTCAAATGGCAGATAATTGGCGTAGCAGTCGTCAAAAGAAGCGGTGGTGGCCGTGCTGGTGGCGGTGGTCGCCGCCGTCGTGGTGGCGGCGCTGCAACACCCGCCGCCGGGAATTATTGGCACCATCATCTGCTTCTCATCCTCAACACAATCAAAACCCCCATTCCCATTAACAACATTATTATTGGAATAATAATTATTGTAACAATAGAAATCATCAATATTATTCCTGTTCATTCCCATTCCCATTCCCACAGGAATAATATCACCTGCTTCCCATGAATCACTTCTCAAAGCTAACAATTCTTCCAAGAAACCATTCTCATAGTACTCCATCTCTCTCTCTCTCTCTCTCTTTCTCTTTCTCTCTCCTATGTTTTCTTTAAAAAGGTTGATAAAAATGAGGTTTGATGGGAATGAGGTTGCACCAAGTGGAGGGAGGGAGGGATTCTTATATAGTGAAAGACAACCTTATGGTAAGAGCAAACTTTGTTATTTTTTCATATAAAATTAGAGATTTGGATTGCATCTAGGGTAGTAAATGAGCCGAGCTGTTCGATCAAAGTTCGGTCAACTTCAAATTTGAGACGGTTTGTTTTGTAATCGAGCTCAAGCTCAAATGTTTTAGACTCGTTGCTCGTCGAGCCGCTCGCGTGAGCCATATATATATATAAAATACAAAATTATAGCCGAGTGGCTCGCAAGCCGCTCTCAAAACTCGGCTCGAGCTCGGTCAACAACTTCGAGCTCAAATCGAACTCGAGCCGGCTCGTTTCATAACCCCAAGCTTGATCTTTAGTTTTCGAACTCAAGCTCGAGCTTACCTATTGTTTATCGAGTTCGGCTCAACTCGTTTACATCCCTAGTTGCATCAAACAAATAGTATTATAAGAGTAACTTTTGAGTCACCATAATTTATATACTCCCAAATGTTATGTCGGGTTGAGGTGTGGGACCCTTGGAGTTGGGGATTCAACCTTTTGGGAGAAGAGTAACTTTTGTTCTTACATTTGGAATATTAAATTTCCATTTTTAAGATATTCTGATTAGTTATAATAGCTTGTTATAAATGGAGATATAAAACTTGGTGTTTGGATATTTTAAAAGTATTATTTGTGATAATTGGTTGTATAAATTAAAATAAAATTTGTAATATTTTTGGTTTGAATTGAACAAAAATAATTATTTTTTTATTCATTCAAATAATATTGGTGGTGCCTATATAATTGACAACTATACATAATGATTATCATGATATGGATAGTTAAATTACACAAACATTTTATCATCAAATATATGGTTGAGATTTATATTTAATATAACATAGAAAAAATTGGTGTTTTAAAAGAAATAAATATGATGTCATATTAGACGCACTTTACACGAGTTGTAATCTAATTTACTTAAAAAAAATCATTATATACACACAAACAAGAAGCCTACGTTTACTTCAATTATATTTTCAGTTTTACAAATGTATAAGTACATATTTACTGTTTCTTTTTTTTTTTTCTTCTATTTATCAGAAAATAGAGAAATTTTCCAGTTCCTAAATGCATCAAAAATAATTTTTTTTTTTTTTTTTGGTTTGATAGTAAAAATTTTGAATTGTCTCAACCCATGCCACAATCAACAATTCATGATCGTCAGTAACTGGATTGTTAATGCAACTATAAAGCTGAAAGTTCGACTCTATTTGTATATGTCCAATTAAATAATATTGGTCCTATATGTAAGTTTTTCCCTAATAATATATATTATATATTATATATTAGGGCCTTAATCAAGTGATGCAAGTGGGCTAGGCTTGTTAAGTGGTCTGGTTGGACTGAATAACTAAAAGTTGTTAGTCCACCAAATTCTGTGCCTAATATAATCCTGGATTGATGGGATACAGGATGATTGGTGTTAGCACATTCAATTACGGTACTCAGACTACTCAATAGATACCAATACACCATCTAAGGTTCTGAGTTAGGTTTGAGGCAAAACATGGCTAATGGTCTACCGTTAACTATGGCTAGAGATACACGGCTACGACTAGCGCTTCCGCTCATACGAGGTCAGATCTATAGTTAGATTATTCTATATCTAACACTATACTCATAGTTGAAAAAATCGCTAAGCGCTCCTCAGGCGCATAGGTTGCGATTAATTGGCACCTAAGCGTGTATATTTTTGCAACACTGTCTATACTATTAAATTACATTGTTGGATATTGCTATAGTATGTTAAATAGGCAAGGTAGGGTAATTAATAAGGAATTTTGTTATTATGAGTGTTTCTTTTTTTAGAATTGATAATTATCCATGTCATTCTCTGGCAAGGTCAATTCACAGGAATTTGCTAAAAGAAATAAAGTTTAATGTAACAAAATTTATAAAACATTAAATTGACCCACATTTCTGTCCGAAACGAAAAGGGATGGAGTTAGTAAAAGACCTTGTCAGGCTCTTTGGCATGCATAACCTTCCCTTCAATTAATTGGCATGGCATCATATCCACCTATTGGGAGGGAGGGAACCAACTCCTACCAGACCTTCAAACCCATCCTTACAAATATTATATTAATACATCGAATTAGTGGAAGAGAAATGAGGTGTTTGGTAAACAGCTGTTAGCTGATTGAGATAATGGGTTTGACTAGTTTATATAACATTAGCTGATTGTAGAAAAATGTTTGTTGAATTAGCTGTTAGCTAATAGCTGATTACATGCAAAATGACTTTCTCAAAAAACTTATCGAAAAAGCTATTTTGAGTAGCTTTTTGAATTTTAGCGTTTTAAACAATAAATTAATTGTAACCAAAAGTAATTAATCAAACAGTCGTATTGGCTATTTAATCAAGTCAAACAGTTAATAGTTGTCAAATAAGCTAAATTGACTGATAAGCCAACTATGTTACTATAGAAATCAGTTGGCAAATTAAGGACAAAGTACTTGGACATAAAATTTTAACCAAAATCTTTTACCATTTGACGGAATAATAACATATAATTTTTTTAATTCATTGGTTATCATAAATTGGTCGAACTAATTAATCAATATTTAGTCTTACTTTCAGCGGCAGGGTGGGGGTTAAAACCTAATTGGGAACTTGAGAGCTCGTTGGAGACTTTGACAAATCAGTGGTGATAAAGACCTCTTGTGCATAGAAATTTACATGCGACATGGAACTTGGATATAGTCCAATGAAATTGAAAAATCTCGGTTATCAAAAAAAGAAGAAGAAAGAATATACTACTTATATTATATTGCCACATCAGATTGTGAAATTTTTTTGTTCTTGTAGCATGATTTGTAAATCAAATACCTATAGATATTTGATTTGCCGTGTAGTGAATTTCACTTAACCAATTATTTGAGTTGAATAATGTGAATGAGAGTATTAAATATTGGAAGAGCTCCGTATCGAGAGTGGAGACATACCTTTATGAGTTATTCATCAATTCAAAATAAGTCCATAAGTTATCTTACCATTTATCTCTTCTGTCAATATCTGGTGCCAATTAAAATTTAGCAACATCTCTATTTCAAATTAATCAAATTTAATATGACTATCAACTATCGAAAAGATGATAATACTAAAAAGAGAAAAACCAATAATTATACCCAAAAAAAAAATACAGAGGGAATACATGCGCTAAATAACGCTACTTATTGCCGACATCATGTGGTTATTATGATATATATGAATCTTTTATTGGATTTTAGGTTTGAGTTTCAATTCATGCACTTCATTAATATGAGTACTATTATTTTTTGCTTCCGATGAGGGGGGACACCCCAAAAACACAAAAAGCTGAGACTCAGACACCCGTATTACTGTGGATGCTTCTTGCGATGTGCACCCCCAACTTATCCAGCCAAATAGCCTCGGCGAGCTCTTGAGGGATATCCGTCAACCTCCATAGACCAGGGCTGTTTGAAAGTGCAGCTGTAGCCATCTTGTCCGCCACTGTGTTGCCTTCACGCAGAATGTGCTCAAAGACCACTCTCGGAATCTTCGCATCCTCAGCCCGGCATCGTCTCACGATATTGCTTAAATCCGGCGAATCCTCGGTGTTTTGGAGCAAAATCTCCACTAGCCTCTTCGAGTCACACTCCACCACGAGCGCCCTCCACTAGCCTCTTCGAGTCACGCTCCACCACGAGCGTCGTTGCTCCATACTCATTGGCCATGCACAGTCCTTGCCACACCCCTCATGCTTCTGCCTCAAAGGCCTGGCAAGTGCCTATGTTCAACAGGCATCCCCGACACCAGTCTCCTCTGGAATCCCGAAGTAGACCACCGTAGCCAGCCCGACCATTACCCTTACGGCAGCCGTCGACGTTTAGCTTTAGCCATCCCTCGGCCGGCGCCGTCAACCTCCCGCCCCGGAGACTGAGTACTATTATTGTTGGAGTTATATTTCTTTCTTTCTTTCCTTTTTTTTTTTTTTTTTTTTTTTTTTTTTTTTTTAAATACTACTGACTCTATTACAATGTAGTATATGTTCATAACTACTTTCTCAACCAAATGAAGCACAAAAAGCCAATATCACCTCCACTGAGACTCGAACCCACAACCTCCCCTATGAGGTAACAACTTCGTGCCATTGGACCACAATGTCCTTGACCAAAAGGTTAAATCTCCAATCCCAAGAGCCCGGCCTCACACCCCAACCCGATAAAGGATTTGAGATGATGTAAATCACGGTGACTCAATAGCTCAGCAAAAACTTAGCTTTTACTGTTATCTTTTGATGATAGTATTCAATTTACTACCCCGTAATATCTTATGCGGATCTATCTCATATAAAAATGGATGCTAAATATATCATACTTTTTAATGAAAATGTAATATTTTTATAGGTTAACTGTCAACAATCATTGTCACTAATACTTCTAAAGAAACGAAACGAGTAGAACTTTTCCTGGTTGAGTTTTTATTACATACACTACACTATTCATTAGTACGTTAAACTATCTTTCTTCTTAATTAGATTTTGTGTGATAGGCTTGACAGAAAGGGTATTAACAAGAATGGAACTCATAACCCTCATGTACGAGAATCATATTTCAACCACTCGACCACCCTTTTCTGGAATCACTACACATTTATTTGATTGATAGGTACAATAAATGCAAATTTTCGAATATTATTTTTATCATATGAAGTACGGAGTAATATTTAATTTAAAAAGGGTTAGCAACCAATAATCCAATCCAATTATGAAGCAAGAAGAAGTAAAAATCACTAAAGCACATGTTTTCCCATCAACAAAGTTTTAAGATAAAATGAAAATGATACTCATGCCAAGTACCTTGTGCTCAAATGACACATCTGTGACTTTTCTTGAAAGAATGTCAAAGGACATATATAAAGTATGATATAGATACATTACCTGGTAATATATCAAATCAATAGTACTAAAAAAAAATGATACCCCA